TTGCAGCAACTTGATTTGCTAACATAGTAAATGCATCAAATTCATGAATATTGGCTACTTTCTTTGGATTCACCCTCTCAGAAGGCCATTAAAAATTATTGGTAGTCATTTCTTCAATTAAAGCGTCATGAAAGAGTTTTAACATCAATGAACCACCAGCAGTGACATTGATAACAGATCTAAGAGATCCAACTAATCCATTATAAAAGGTTTGAATTATTAACCAATCTGGTATAGCATGGTGTGGACAGTTTATTAAAAGTTTTTTAAATCATTCTCATGCTTCATAAATAGATTCCCCTTCAAATTGATTAAAAGATGTAATATCATTTCTAACTTTCGCAGTTTTTTATGGTAAAAAATATTTAGCAAGGATTTTTTGTGCTAAATCACCCCAAGTTCTGATAGATCTAGGTGCTAATGAATTCAACCACATCTTAGCATTTTCCCTCAGTGAGAAAGGAAATAACCTAAGTCTTATGACACCATCTGATACACCATCATATTTAAATATAACGCACAATTCTAAAAAATTGGCAAGATGTAAATTTGGATCTTCAGTTGGTGATCCTCCAAACTGACTATTTGATACAATTTGGATAATAGCAGGTTTAAGCTCAAATGACTTAGCTACTATAGTAGGTTTTTGAAAACTACAATGAAGTTCATCTACCATAGGGTTGGCATAATCTCTTAAAGGATGGTCTAAACTCTTAATGAATTTCAACATTTTGATTATTTTGGTTTGCCATTTCTGTAATTTTTTGAATTTTTTCAAGATTTTTAAATTTTTTGATTTTTCTGATTTTTTTAATAGTTCTCTCTAATTCATTTAATTCAAAATTGTAAGGCACTAGTCCCTGAACTATGCATACACTAACATAAAATAAAAATAAAATAAAACACACAAAATAAAATACAATAATTATTAAACTTTAAATAAGATTTTCTAAAAATATAAAGTTGATTTTAAATCAATTAATTTCCCCGGCAACGGTGCCAAAAACTTGATCCCCGGCAACGGCACCAAAAACTTGATCCACGGATGTCTTAATACTTATGCACAGTATAACAATAGTTCTGAAACTTATATTTCCTTACAACAGATTCAAAACTTGATCCTAAAGAAAATAAGAATTTAACTTTTCAATTTTTATATATATTGGGATACCACGCAATGGGATACCACGCAAGTATACGTATATACGTATCGTTATCAAGTAATATAGGACTTTTTGATTAAGACCTGAATATCTAACCCACATGGAAATTATGTAATATGTTTTATTGAACAACAAACTTTATATTTTAAAAAGACAATTATTTAAACTAGAGATGTATTTGCAGGAATTAAAATTCAAATCTTTTTGGTATTTTTGATATTTTTGACAAAATAGTAACAATTTAAAAAGATAACTTGAGTTTATGTAAAAGAAAAGCACTAAATTTGAAAATAT